CCAGCACTATGCAAAGAGGTAGCAATCTCGTCCCAGTATGAGTTCACATCTGATGGTGGAGCATTTGGAAGAGACTCTAGAAGACGATTCTTGTAAGTTCGTCTGACATCCGGATCTGCCAGTCTTTCAGTTGCCATGCGATTTGTCCGCACCTTAAGCGACCCCGGGAAACGTAGGGAGAAGCGACTCCGGACGAGCGCGTGGTCAGAGTCCACAAATGTGTTTTGGGTGAAATGCGTTCAGTTGCACATGGTTATAGCATTAAAGTGAGACACAAGTAAATCTCTATTCTGTGATGTTCTTCAACTGTTCGCTTGTTGTTTCGGTTGTTACGATATTCGAACTATCGAAGAATATATTTGCTCGACACAACGTACTGGTCTCGCCTTTCTTGTTTCTCTTTACGTATGCGCAGTCCGTGAGTTTCCTCTAACCCCATATTCCATTTAAATATAAAACTGTACAGAAGTGGTAAACCCTGTGTTCACCTGATGGGACAAGTCGGTCAAGGGCTATCGAAGAGTTTTCAGAATCTACATAAGTATTCTGCCAGGTAATTACACGTCGACCTCAAGAAAAACGCACCGACTGAAACAGGAAACTGGCTTGGAGCAGCACACTCAGTTGAACAATATTATGAAGAAAAAAGGCAGCTAATCTCCCCGTCATCTCCAACGCAATTCGCAAATGAGTGTATTTCGCTGACTCTGTGCAGTTTGCAGATGTTCAAGGGGATTAGGTCATCGGAAACTCCCTACGTGAGCCCCAAAAACCGTGAGGAGTTCCTAGTAAACCTATGAGTAGCCTGTGCTTTCAAGATAATTCATTTCGTTCTCTCATACAGTCCTAAGCTCTACTATGAGACACACTTAAGTAATCCACCATTCCTCGTACTCTTTCAGGCAATGATCCAAAGCTCTGGAGCCGGTTACTTGTAGTGTATGCTTTCTTCTCCACTGTTGTAGCATAATTTTTTGACACCACACCCCTGTGCTTTCGATTTTCAATGCTATCAGTTTTGATTTAATTTTATCGATAAAAACAAACGCTTTACTGTATACGTTGGCCACCAAATGACTACTCACTTTATTTGTCGAACACCGACTTCTTTCACACGTTTCAATGATGTGACATCCAGTGACTTATACGTATTCACATTCGGCTGAATTAGCCGCCGGATAAAGGACAAACTTTTGAGAAGCTGAACTGCCATAGGATCCATCGTAAAATGGAAACTGTTTTGACGAGCAAGCGACACTCCAGCTGGTGAACAAAGATGCAGCGTCTCCTGTAAGCTGAAAATACTCCGTCGATGTGTCTAGCTGTTTTGGAACATTTTGATGGGTGAGCAGTACCAACTAAGAAGATGATAACCGTGGCAATTATCATCTTGGACAATTATTTGCTCGCCGAAGAGCCTAAGTGAAATCCGGTCCAGAAAAGTAGAAAGAGCAGAATATGGGAGAGCTTCAAACGATCGTTCAATTACTTCTTCTTCACCAAATCGCCGATTACCTTTGACTAACCGACGAACGCAATCTCACTCTCAAGTCAACAGTCTTCGATGATGGGAACTAGAACGATCAACATGCCTGATCCATATACCATCATTTGATAATGTCTCCAATAACCTGGCGTTTCAGGTCCTTGTGGGTACGTCAGGATCACGTATAGGTTGAGAGTTGGAAAAACGCGGACGAGAATCTTCATATATTCATATGCATATCATATATATATATATATATATTCATATATTCATCCATATTTACCAAATTTACGAACATAACATCAGTCTGTATCCAAAAGATTAACCTGCATTTTCGGTGGCTTCTCTGCAGTCAAGAGTGGTTCCCTATTTTTCCATGACAGGCTAGATCATTTTCAGTTCCCATCTCTATTGCTTACCATCTATCATTTCAAAACAGAGTGCTTAATACTATTCAGGCGCGTAATCTATCCCATGATATTATAAATCCCTCCGCTCTCTTGTCTCATTGGAGCCGAATTTCCCACCTGCCTATTTTGCGCAAAAACAAGCTGTCACGAAACTTGATCATAATATTCTGTCCGCTGTGGTATTGAACCCCGAATTAGTAACAGTGGTCCTTGGGACTGTTCTGATTCAGAAGCATCTGGAGATCACATGCGCGTTCCTTCCCACAGCACAGACTAATTTATCCCTCTAGTAGAATCGGAGGCGCGGAAAAAACTAGCAGTCATGTCTGTGACCGGCGAAGAAGGACTCTAACGAGTTGACTACGTAGTGTGTAAAAGTTCCAGGCCCAGATGAAAGCTGACCACTTTGTTTGGTCAATCGCATCTTCTGTTCTTCGTCATACATGACGACTCACTAGGGGGTCACCTGTCACTGAAAAAAACTACATATACGTGCGCAATTCTGTTCACCCAATTCTTCGCGAACTGTTAGACAGAGCAAACCGAGCACCTCCGACCCACTTTCCTTTATCGGACTTGATCTCGGGAGGTATGAGATCCTGACTATTGGTCCTCAATATCCCCCAAGGCTGAGTGTTTTCCTTCATCTTTGGAAGATTCCATGAGTATCCAAATCTGACCTCAACCTTCGTTTCTCCACAGTTTTTCGAGCAATACTGAGTCAATTCCGGTTAAGCAAGGCTTGTCGAGTAAGCATTGATTGGCGTTTTGGGGACAGCATCCCAGCAGAAACTGTAATGAAATAGCGACACATTTTATGAACTAAAAACCAGTACGGAAATAATGCGCGTAGATAACAGCATGGATTGCTGCGACTGAGCAGCGATGGGCTTGGTCATATGAATCGATTTTTCCTAATATGTATATCGTGGGGAACTACTAAATCCAACGAGCCGTCGCGACAAGCAATCACAGATGATCTTTGGTGTAAAGCCTTTGTAAATGTGAAACTTCTAGTAAAGTTCACTTCGCAATCACATTCACTTTTATAACAGGTTCCATATCTGAAAGTTATTACAAAATGCTTTCGTTATTCCTAAACCGCTGAGTAATGCGTATCCGCTATATCACAGTTTCCAAAAAAAGTGATATGAAAAAGGAATGATGAGCCCAAAAACAAACTGGAATGTATTATGTACATGAGCATGGCACTCGGTCAGTCTAAGCATCCAGGCGAGCAGGAATCTTGTCCGCAGATCCAAGCAACCGACTGGAACCTTCCGCCTTAGCAATGCGACTCCCGAACTGCATAGCACGTTTAGAAAGGGTGGAAGCCTGCAACAAGCCTAAGTTATAAGCAACCTGTCGTAGAAGACGCTTTTCTCCAACCCCACGAGGTAGTGTGAGATCCGCCTAGAACAAGAATGAGAAAAAACACTAGTTTGTATCTGCCGAACAATCCATCAACTATGTGCAACAGAATGGCAACGAAAATTATGTACTCAGTTCAAGCCAAATTTTGCCGGTTGCTGAAGAAACTCGGCACATATCTTCCTTCTGGAACGTCATACTTAATCCCATACAAAGACGAAATAATTCATTATGAGGAAAACCACTGGCTGAAGCGAACCAAAAATGTGTTAGTTTGGATATAAATACGCAGTACGGACGAGCCTCCCTCACCTAATCGCGGAACCCACACCCAGTACACAGAGATGGTGGAAAGATGAGTACGCGTCGGGGGCGAAAAGAATGGTTGTTGAGTAAATTCACTGTTGAAATTGCCAGTGTAACGTAAAAACTAGAGCACACGTGAATGGCCGAAAACAAAATTTGCGCTTTCAGCCTATCACGAAGTGGAGATGACGAAGTGTAAATAGATCTCTGAAAGACCGTAGTCGGCTAAGATATGAAGAAATAGGGGCAACGCTTACAGTTATCGTCCATGTCACAAGGAATGGCATACAGTGTTTGCAAAAGTTGGCGTGCAAGCCACAAGTCCAGCAACTACAGCAAGAGCGAATTGCATGTCAAGTTGTTGATATTTGTCCTTCGGGGTCCAATGAATTTCTAAAATTCCAGGATGTAGATTTCCACTGAACGGCCGTGTGACGCAGCAACTGAATTTTCAAAACCCGTGACGCGGCTCAACTCTCCCGAGTTATTCAGTCTGAAATGCTGGCGGTCAGTGAGTAGTGCCAACAGGTGGGTTACGAGCACAAGAATCGATCTGCATGGAGGTATTCAAGGTAAGTCGAGGGCTGAACCTTGATTCGCAAGGCTCACTAGTATCTTGCTTTTAGCCATTGCCAACCCAAGCCGGAATGAACGATAGATCCGCCTTGGTGCTTGTTATCTGATAGGACGAGATTGCTAAGGGCCTTCAGTCAAAGTATCATGTGATATTTACCTATTTATATCATTCGTTTGTTAAATTTACCTCTGGATGCACTCAAGTGGTTGAGAGAATCACATGTTTTGGCAAATATAGGATGCAGTCCGCTGGGCAACTAAAAAACATTTAAATTGTCCCTTATTGGAGTGATCGATAGGTACCGTAGCATCATTTCACACAATGACTGTTGTGTATTTGTGCCACTTGCTGAGACCAAAAGTAAGATGTCTCCTAGATAAACACTGAGCAATGAATACAGTCGTTGGATTATCAGCTCGAACTAGACACCCATATCTGAATAAACGGCGAACGCCGAAAACGTTGAATAGGGACTCTGTTAACCAAACAGCGAACTGCGGGAATTTCGAACGTTACAAAAGGTTGGTGAGACAAAAGATATCTGCGATTGTCTCAAGTGAATATCCCAATTCTATGAACGATAAAATATGTAACCATCCAACTGCTACATCCTGCTTCAAGTTCATCCGAGGGAAAAGGTACGGTAGCACTGAGAAACGATTACACGGAGGGCAGTCGTGAAGGCAATCGAAGCCCTACGATCCGCTGTGTACGGATTGAAGAGCAAGGCGTAAAGACACTGGCTGTGACACTGGCTCAAATTTCAATATCACAACAGCATTTAGATGTACAAATGCCGATTGTGGTCATCATCATCA